GCTTTAAAACACAACACTTTAATGGTCTATGAGTAACCGGCTCAAAACAAAGGTATTGAATATCCCTTTAAATGTATATGGGTTTCAAAAACAAAAAGAGAATAGAGCTGGCAACATTTCTTCTGGGTTTTACAGAATTTGAAATGCTTGAGAATTGTCTACACATGTGCCCATACACAACTGCACAGAGTTATAACTGACCCGGAGGGACAGCAGGCCGATAGGTGCAAACCCAAACAGCGTGCAGCTTTGGCGGCTGCACTGAGGGGAGCGTATCTCTCCCCTAAGCTCCCCTCTGTGAAGGGGAAGCAGGGTGCTGGGCGCGGGGTGGGGGGGGGGAGGAAGAGCGCCAGGTGTCGCTCTAAGTGCTGTGTTGCTGTGTGAATGGAACAATTTGCTGTACATTTTGAGTTGCTAACATTTGGGAGAATAGTGGACAATGGAGCTTCATGTAAACTGAATTTTGTAACAGTGACAGAAAGTAAAGAAAGCTTAGTGCAAACTGATTTTGTGTATGGTCTCACTTTTCTACTGCGTAACGACACTACCGTGATGGAGCCCAAACAAACAGGCGCGTGCTTTATGCAGCAGAGCAAAATCCTTCTGCGGGTAGTCACCGCGTGCTGCCTGCCCAGGCCACGGGCTTCCTCAGCGACTACTCCTCAGCAATTTGGGTGTTGAGCTAAAAAATTACTCCACTGGCTTTAGAACAAGGAAGAAAAAAATAAATAAGATCAGTTCTGACGAACCCCAGCATCTGCCAAGCATCTACTGTGTGTCAGGCATGGGGCGTGACACAGTGATAATCAGATGGAGGCACTGGAATGGTCCAGAACTCCGGGGAGCGTGGGAAAAGACAGGGCGTGACTGTCTCGGTTTGCGTTTCCCCAGAGGCCGACACTGAGGCGAGGATGAGAGGACTGCTGCCTTAATCAGGACTGACGTCAGGAACCATGGATAGGGAAGGGAAGCAAGTGAGACAGGGAAGGCGAGGAAGACACTGAAGGAAGAAACTGGTATTTCTCCCAGGAAATGTGCCGAGCACAGCCTGGTGCCGGGAGGCCCGAGAGACGGGCAGTTAGGTTGTCATTCGCACCCAGGGCTGGCTAAGGGCTGCTCCTGGGCGCGCTTGCTCCCCAGCGCTCCCGGCTTCTTGCGTGAAGATCGAGAGAAAGCCTCAGCCTGAGAGCTGGCTTTTGCAGTAGAATGGCCCCAGCAGGTAAAGGGTGAACTGCCCCGAGCATCTGCTGAGAATTGAGAGGGTGAGGAGTGGCCCAGCAACAAATGCAAAATGAGGTCAGAGGAGGAAGGCAGCATTGCGGGATGGAGCAAGGAGGCAGAAATTCATGGAAAGGTGTGGGAGCTGATCCAGCTGAAAGATGCAGGGCGCAGGGAGCCAGGGCGGCTGATTTCAGGGCCTTCTGAAAACCTGAGCTGGTAATGAGACTGATCTAGCAGAGTCCGCCCAGGAATGTCCACAAACACAAGCTGAATAGTCCATAATGTGCTCTATTTATATGAATATCGAGATTCAATGTGCAATTTTGAGCAGAGAAATATGAACTATTTTGGTGTGGCAGAGCCTGCCACTTGTCCCCCAACACCCATCCCTTCATCTCCCACAGCAGCAAAATTTTCAGGTGGGCACAGCAAAATACAGACTTTACTCCGGCCGCTCTGGTAGCCAGCGTGGCCGCGTGAGCCAGTCTGGCGGGGGTGTGAAGGGAACTGATGCAGGCAACCCCCAGGCCTCGGCCCCCTGGACGTGCTCCCGCTCCCTGCCCGCCCGGCGGGAATGCCAGCTCCGAGAGGGTCATGAAGGCAGCACTTCTGGGAGAGCAGAGCATCAGGCGGATGAAGCCTGAGCGCCTAGAAACTTTAGGGAGTGGAAGCACAAACCATCCCTTTGGGTGTTTGGGAACAGGCTCAACCTATATTCTAACTACAGATTACGGAAATATTCAGGGTGAACTTTGGAGGGAGGGGCAGAGAAGGCCTACGTGCGTGTTACGTTTGCCGTGACTCTGGTTGGCACTCTGCTATGCTCAGCTTTTTCATGGTTCTGATGCTTAATTCTCAGATTGCTACTTCTTTTAAGCCTCAGTTTTTGTATTTACAAACTAATATTATGGTGACGAGAGTTTCTATAATACTGGAAGGAGCCTGAGGACTGACAGCCTGACAAGGTGGAGAGAATGTTAATGGAGGGTCGCGGGCAATGGCCCGACCAAGGACGACCTGAGGCAGCCTCCCGTGGGATGCTGAAGGAGACATGCCGCGGGGTGTGACTCTAAGGGAGCACATCTCTGCGTGGGTGTGTGTATATTTAAATGCCAGCTCGAGCGTGAAGCGGACGGACATTGGTCTCTGGGGAAATGAATGGGGTTGGGGTGCTTGGCAGGAGTGCAGAAGCAATCATCCTAAACAGATAAAGTTAATATTTGGTAATTAACAAATTGTGTCACTGCTCATTTGCAATCTAGTTAATAAAATAGTCTACATTTGTGTGATACAGCCAGTCGGAGATTGTAATTGGATGTGCACTTGCTCTTGGTTGCTTTGTGATGCTTATGCTAATGTGAGTTTAGAACTTAAGAGTAGGGGTACCTGCTGTGCTTAAGGCTCACTTCTTGGCCAGAGGCAACAAAATAGCTCCATCTGCCCGCATCCTAAGAATAGTCTGAGGCTATTCAACAGCAGAGGGTGCCTCAAAAGCCAGCCTCCCAAGGTTCAGGAGCTGAGTTACACATCGGGTGCACCATAGGGATGGTGGGTACCTGTGGTTACACTCCCTTGGGGTGTTCAGAGAAGGGGCATCCCTTCTGTGAATTAAGCTGCATTTTAGCAAGGCTGGGACCTTTTAGTAACTTTGTGCCTAAACATAAAAAAGTTTCCCAGGGATCATGATGTCTAGCACAGGATAGGTACTCAGATAATGGGTGTGGAATAAATGAACAAATAATTGACCATTGGCTTGGCGCTAACCGTCAATACCTATGTGATCAACTGTTGAGCGCCTCAGAACTTTAGTAGCCATGTGCTTGTTAGTAACTTGGTCTCTCCAGAGTGATGTCAATCCCTGCCTTTTGTTCAAGTTTTTTTCTCTCTTGAAGGTTGAGAGAGATTCAATGCCCTGTCCCTTGCCCTAATCAGCCTCTTTCTGTAGATCAATATGTACACTCGTATCTTTAGCTTTTACTGGGCAGTAATTTTGCAATCCATATGTAATTCATTAGCATGTAAAATGCTCTGCTATTTGAGCCAAAATAATATACAGGCTGTCTGAAAAGTCTGGCAACAGAGGATAAACTTATTTCAAATAGTTTATTAGTTAAATTTTTAAATAATATACTTAATACGTTTTCCCTCAAACTCCAGACACCTTTTTAGGTAAAATAACTCTAAATTTAAAGCAATATGCCCAATCTTTAGTCTGAAAAAGTACAACAAATGTACTATTTCTTCCATGTTTCAAGAATATTTGGCCACTCTGTAGTGTACTTGTGAGTTTGTTTTAGATGAACAATAGTTTAGAGGTACTTCATCTGAAAAGCTATCTGGAGGTTGAAGGAAACTATATCAAATATATCTTTTTAATATAGTGTAATATGCCGTTTGAAAGTAAGATTTTCATGTGTTTGCAGATTTTTTGTAGATCCAGTAACTGACAAGTGTCTTGGAGTTGAGTATTTTTTGTGTGTGGATCAGTTAAAAGAAAACAAGGACTTTCACATTTGTTTCCAGCATCTACTTACAATATGCTCAGAATAAAATATAAAGATTGAGCTTTTGGCTTGACTCAAAACTGACTCTCTGCAAAAAATATTTTAAAAGGAGAAAATAATAAATTTGAAGTAGGAAATAGGGAAAAGTGCATAATATTCTCCACCGACAAATCTGTCTTTGCAATCTCCCCGAAGCCAGCGCGCTCCACATGCTCTATAAACCCACTTTACAGGGGAACTTAATGGGCTGGATTTGCAGCAAGTTAAATGAGATTTCTTTTTTTAAAGCTGATGCAGGTTTCACAGGCTGACGCCCTTCACTCTTTAAGCGAAACCATCTTGGTTTTGAATCCTTAGGCCCATTTCACCGTCAGCTCTGTGTCAAATGACCCTGATATGAAAGGAAAGCCCCTTCAGGTCTTTGGTCTGGGATGGTGTCAGAGGCAAATCTGAGTTTTGTTCTCATGGCTTATCATGATCTCTTTCAACTTTTGATGTAATTATGTCCAAATTCAAGGATTATATGAGAGGCTCTGGACATTTAGGCCTTCATTCCAGTAGTAACGGGCTGGAGGCAGACCCTCTGCCTCTAGCTACTGTGCTATCTGTCTGTTTTAGTGATTATGGTTTAGGGCTAGAATCTTTGTCTGGGAGCCCCTTTGGATTAACACTTTTATCTTTGTATATGTAAACCTACCATAGGTACCCAAGACTTTCCTCATTAGAAACTTGGTCCCTCAGGGGGATATACTAAGAGTTCATGGTCATTAGGTATATTCCCCAAAGGTATCCAGTTGGCAAATTTGTGTTCTCAACAAAAATTAGAGATTAGAGAAAATCAATAGAAATAGTAATAACCCATTAAAAATCTTCTAGAAGAAATCTGCTTCCAAAACACACTAGGTTTGTTAATGTAAAAACCTGCTCGCGGAAATAATTCCTCTCCTGAGCCAGCACCTTTCCATTTTCGGGAGCTGAGAGGGCACTCTCTTCTCTGGAGACAGACTCGCTTACGCTTTAGATGTGCAGCCAGCACCTCTTTAAAAGTTCCTGAGCCAGCCCTTCCTGGTTTGAAATGTAATATATTTTATGCTTGCATTTTCCTCTAGTTTGGTCTCCATGTGCCTCAGGGGAAATGCTTATACATCCCCCTGACCTTTCAATAAATGATTGCTGGGCTGAGAGACACGTTTTACTCTGCCTTTGTTTTCCTATCCCAGGTAGCGAGATGTTCGGCAGTGAACCGACTTTCTTTGTGGGCTGGTGGGGTGGTGGGACCCTGACAACAATGGTGTTTTTATTTTAAGGGACTAATCAACACAGAAGAAGAAATGTCAGTCTACAAATACAAAACTCGATCACCTCAAGTGTGTGGAATTAACTTCTCGCATGGACGTGGAGCTTTGTCATGGACCGACAGCGCCAGATCCAGTGCGCCACTCAACATGACCAACCCCAACGGCCCCTAGCAGCCTGCAGGTAGGCTGGAGGCCCCATTCTGGCCACTCACATCCTCCCTCTCTCCCTCCCCTCCTTTCTTCCTCCTAAGACAAGCACACTTGTATTGCAAATGCAAACTCTATGTAAAACTATAGTTTATAGTCTCAGTTGCCTTTGAAATTGTGTAGGATGCCATGACATGTAATAGTAACACACTGTCTGGCAAGGCTGGTGGGAGCCACAGGACTGCGCGCTGTCCCGTCCGCAAGTACTCGGAGGGCCCAAGGCGGTTCCCTGGGGAGGGCCGGAGGAGCATCGGAGAAGGCAGGGTGTGAGCGCGGCCTCCGGAGACCAGTGGGTCGCTGCGTTTCGACAGATGAAATGTGGGAGAGACTCCGCTAAAGGTAGGCAATGCCTGTTTGCTTGACTAGCATCCTGGCTGAAGAAAAGCACAACAGGCTGGGAACACTGAGACTTCTGGAACAGCTTGGCAGGCACAGGAGCGTGGGAGCGGGGGCTGCGGGCAGGGCGGCCAGTGGCCTTTCTGACACGTGAGGGGTGAGATGGGGAGGCCCTGAGGAGACGTCAGGGTGCCCTCCACCTGCCTTGATGGGGGCTCCATGCTCCCTCTGATGAAGCCTAAGCCCCCCTCTCTTTCTCCTTGAAGCTCATCATCCGGCCCTTCTCTCAAAGATCACTTCTGAGCTAGATGTTATCAACGCTAAAATTGTGCAATTATTTGTGGAAATCTGAATTCAGAATTTCACATTTATTTATTTCTAATAAATTTTATCTATTTTTTTTTCTTTTTTTTGGCTCTCTATTCTAGGCCTGGAAATCATTTTGGGTGTCAATTCTGTCACCTAGCGTATTGGCTGTCCCCCCAGCTTGGTGGTGTGAGATTTTTTTCCAGGCCAACATCAATGGATTTGGCAACACCCTTTAGGTCACTGTGTTTTCACCAACTACAAGCGTATCTAATCACCCAGGCCCCCTTCTCTGTCAAGTCCAACACTGTGCGGAAACCATAGGGCATGTTCTTCTGACCTACATGCCGGTTACCGCACTGAAAGGGAAACGCATTCATGTGGCGGGATGCATTCTTTATTCCTTTTACATGCAATCAAGCGATCCATAAACTGACTGTTCCATCACGCAGGCTCCTGGACTTACAGGGGCTTATATCCTCATAAACCCATCATAAGCTGGAAATGCATTTATTACACCTACGCTCCCAAACATCACAGCTTAGCCACACCTACCTTAAACGTGCTCAGAACACTTACATTAGCCTGTGGTCGGGCAAAATCACATCACTGCTGCCCAGCTTAACAGGAGAGTATCGTACCCCATATTGCTAGCCTGGGAAAGACCAAAACTCAAAATCCAGAGTATGGTATCCACTGAATATGTATTGCTTTTTCACCATTGTGAAGTAAAAACATTGTAAGTCCAACCATCGTGAGCTGGGGACCGTTTGTACAGTTTTCCAGGTGTCTGAACCCTAAATACATGTCTAGAACCCTAAAGTTCATCTCGTCCTTTGCTATGTAAAATCTGCACATTTGTCTGCCTCCAGCGTTTGGCATTCTCCGTGTTCAACACGCTTCCTCAGACAGTGCTAAAAGCGGTCAATTTGAGATTTCCAAATGGGGGTTCTATCCACCAGCACAGCAAAATGTCCCCAGGCACAGGGTTTTCGGGTATTCAAGAACATGAGACAGGAGGCAGGCGGGCAGTGGTCCTGAGGTTGGGCCTCCCCTTGCTCGCCGCCCTTGCAGGTGACCTTCCAGGCTCAGGTAAGACCCAGGGCCCCGGGCGCCCTGCCGCCCTGCCCTGGTCACTCCCTCAGCCTGTTCCTAGGGGGCCAGAGGGCTGCAGGAATCACGCCTGGCAGGAATTTTTTAATAAGTTCAGTAACTACTTCCAGGATGGCTTAAAAGAAGCGGAGTCTGGAATCAATTTGTAACTCTTTCCATGCCTCCCGCTCCGACTTGCTTCCTGACAGGTAGCGGAAGGGTGGCTGCTGGGGGAGGACCTGCCCTGGCCGCCGCTCCCTCTGGGCCGCTGCTCCCGGGGAGCGTGCGCCTGGGCGAAACCAGGGAATAATGTCCCTGGGTTCAGGTGTACTGACTGTAGAATCAGGACCCCTCTGGCACAACAACTGTGACATCTAGTAAGTGAGTGCCGTAGCTGCATTTGGGGTAAGAACAGCTTGGCTTTGCAGTCCTTTTGTTTCATGATTAATGTCACCTGGAAAAGATCCAGGGCCACATTAGCTCTCCCCACTCCTTCGCAGCTCATTGTGTCAATCTCCTGCAGTTTGTAAAAGTTCTCTGGGACTTTTGTCCTTTGTGTACTTTATCCCCAAGTTCTAGTTAAATTTTTGAGGAACTGTGGACCTTAGAGCATTATCCCTTCGCTGGAAAAAGCCCAGGAAATCTGTGAAAACACACCTATGGGCAGTTCTACTCTGCACCCAAATAATAACAGCGTTTCCCTTTTTTTCGATTAAATGCCTCTCCACTCCTGTCCGGCCGCTCCTCACGTCCTTAGAGTGGCTTTTCTTGGTGTGTGTCCCCTTTGTTTCACCCCCGGAAATTGAAGCGCTTCAGGCCTTTTCATTCTTGCATGAAACCTTGGCTGCTTTTTCCTCCCAATATTTGGAAAAGTCGAGGTATCATGTGAGCTGCCAAACAGACTGGGTGGGAATTGGAAACCATCCAGGGCCATATTAGTTCTCTCCGCTCCTTCCCAGCTCATTGCAAACCGCTTGTATCAGTCTCCTAAGGTTTGAACAAGTTCTCTGGGACTTCCATCCTTTGCACACTTTCGCTCTTAACCTCAGAGAGTCTCATTTCAAAATGACCCGCTAACGTGGATTCGGATTAGCATCGGCTATGTAGACCGACTGGCAGAGAAGCGTTTAGAAGCAACCCTCCCTGGGAGGGGACTGGACTCAGGAAACCTTGTCCAGGCCTTAAACTCACTGGCTGTTAGGCGGACGGCTGCGATCTAGTTCCCCCTTTTGATTTAATGAGAACAGGTCAGAGGGCCACTGTAAAGTACACAACACTTCCAGTTTAAAATAGACCTTGGAAGACATTGAAAGAGGAAGGAAGGGGAAGAATGTGGGACTGCAACGGGACAGGGCTCTTTGATCACCAACCCAGCGAGAATTTTAATTAGCTGTGCATGTAAATAACAAAAAAGAAGAGCCTCCCCAAGCTCAGGCTTCTGCAAGTGGGGCGGGAGCTCCGAGGAACGACTGAGGTTTCATGTTTCCAATCGAATCCGTTAGGGAACTCCCGGAGATTCTGAATGAGGAATCTTCCTCGCCTCCATGTATTCTGAGTGAGGGCAATTGTTGGTAATTCAGAAGCTGGCTTTACAACAGAGAGAGGATTATTAGCTACGAATTATATGCTACATGTTTGATTTTTATATGTGTGCGTGTGTGTGTGTGTGTGTATATATATATGGAAGAACCATTCTCTTTTCCCTCTGCTCCCCAAGTCTCTCGTCAAGAGCTTTGGGCAGCCCGGCCGGGCGTGGCTCAGTGGTTGAGCGTCGACCTAGGATCCAGGCGATCGGGGTTCGATTCCCGGTCAGGGCACATGCCCGGGTTGCAGGCTTGATCAATGACTCTCATCATTGATGTTTCTATCTCTCTCTCCCCCTCTCCTTTCCTCTCTCTGAAATCAATAAAGATATATTTAAAAAAAACACAAAAAAGAGTTTGGGTAAGATCCCTGGTGAAGGCCGTGAGGATGAGCAGCTTCAGGAAAGAATCCAGGGACCTTTCAACATTTGGAGGTTAAACAAGAGGAAGAACTGGCAAAGGAGCATAAGACAGCAGCCCTGAAGGTGGAAGGAAGGCGGAGAGTGAGATGCGACCCAAGCCAAGAGCTGAAAGCATCTCAGGTGGTAATCTGTTGAGAAGTTGAGATGAAGCCGTAAAAGTAACCATTAATTTGAAGAGAGGTAGGACCTTGGTGAACTTGACAGAGTAGTTTCTGTGAAATAGAGGAAAGAAAGCTCAGTTTGACAGACTTCACATCAGAGTTCAGTTATTCAAGAAACAGGCATACTTGCCCCAGTGAGTGGGGCCCGTTGGTCGTGTGTTGTCCCATTTATCGAAAGGTCGCCAGTTTGATCCCTGGTCGGGGTACATACGGGATCTCACATTGATGTTTTTCTCTCTCCCTCTCCTTTGCTCTCTCTCTCTCAAAATCAATAAAAATGTATTTTTAAAATGAAAAATAAATAGGCATATTAATTATTTGCAATAGTGAGAAATTTAGGGGGAAAATCTGATGTGGCTTCCAGGTCCCCTCCAGACCATGGGACAGGATCTCGCCCCCATTTCCACCTACGCCCCGTGGATCTTCGCCTTCAAGGAGCGTCATGAAGGAGGTCAAAACTCTGAGATGTCTTGGGCACCAGGTGACACAGATTAAGGTAACGGAGGCAGAAAGTCTGTCAGGGGAGTGAGGTTCTGTTCCAGACACAAAGCTAGGGTTGCTGCACGGGTGTGGGGGGAATTTCCATGACGACACTGCATTACAATTCTTTTTTGTGATTTGTTCCAATGTTTTCTTTCACTCCTTTCTTCATTCAAAAACCATTATTAGAGATGCTGGGAAGTAAGGCAATACATAAACCTGCCAAAGTTTCTGCCTTAATCAGTCACATTCAATGAAAGGCATGTGTGCATACCCATATCTTGATGCAGAAGAAGACAGAGGACGGTAAAGAAGAAGGGCAGCCTGGTTAGGCCCCGGAGTGGGAGTGTCCTACCTTGGGTGCGTGTGCGAATCACCTGAGTGCTCGGTCCTCTCTCTAACAGACTGAATCATTCGTCACACCTGCGGGTGAGGCCCTGGCATCATTAGAACCTCCCCATGATTTCAGCGTGCAGCATGCACTGGGGACAGCTGCACCAGAGCGGTGGCTCTTGGAGTGTGCTCCCTGACCAGCAGCATCACAGCCACCGGAGAGCTGGTGGAGATGCAGAGGTGTCGGTCCGACCGCAGCCCTGTCCAGGTAGGACCCCTGGGCGTGGGGCCAGCGATCTGTGTTACCAAGCCCTCCAGGAGATTCTGGTGAGCATTCAAGTCTGAGAATGACTGCATTGGAGAAATCAACTTTCCAAAAGCCCAAAGGAGGAGTGGCTGGCTACAGAGGTGTCATACTTACAACACGTCAGCGCAGTGTGAAGTATCTCCTATGGCCCAGGTCTATGAAGAGCAAAAGAAATACTCTTGCCGCCAAGAAACTTATATTCCATGCTGAAAACCCCACAGAACAATGGGAAATCATATAGAAATATGTGTAAATAATTACACGTTTATGTTTGCACATTTAGGGATGGTGACATCACAAAGACCATTTTTAAGCTTCAATTATACTCTCAAGCTTCAATCACAAGTTGACCACATATAATATCCACAGTCACACTTTCTCTCCTACTGAGTTTCATAGACTTTCTTCCACTTCTCTTGGCATTGCTTGCTGGAAAACTCTGAAACTAACAGGAATTTTCCCCTTTGTGAGTGACTTCCTTTTTCTGCCTGGGTATTGGGAGAAAATGTTCATGGGCCATACAATTTAGTTGAAATTCAAAAACCTAACCTGGATGTGTCTCAGTGACTGATCTATACTTTCTCTTTTGAATCAAGGTGTGCTATTTTCATCTGCAGATGCAGAACTTCACTCATCTCAGACTAACTCTTGATTTGTATTTTACCTCTGATTTTTAAAAACAGAACTCTTAAGTGGGCTAGTCCTTGCCTTCCATAACTATTAAAAGTAGCTAGAAGGAAAGCAGAGAGTGGGATATGACCTAAGCCAAGGGTTGAAAGCATCTCAGATGGTAACCTGTTGAGAAGTTGAATGAGATGAAGCCATAAAAGTAACCACTATGTTCAGGGTAGGATATTTTCGTAGGATGGAATTGTTTTCTTAGATATGATACTAAAAGCATTAGCAACAAAAGAAAAAAGCAGATGAATTGGTCTTCGTCAAAGTTAAAAACTTTTGTGCTTCAAAGGACACTATTATGAAAGTGAAAAGACAATCCACAGAATGGAAGGAATATTTGAAAATTGCATGTATGATAAGGGTCTAATATTCAGACTATATAAAGAACTCTTACAACTCAACAGTAAAAAGATAGCCCAAATGAAAATGGGTCAAGGATTTGAATATACATTTTTTTTCAAAGAAGATATACAAAGAAGGTATATGTAGAAACATAGTTATTAGGCTAATGCAAATCGAAACCGCAATGAGACACCATTTCCCAGCTACTAGAATGGTTGTAAAAGAAAGATGGAAGCCGGTGAGCGGCGGAGAGGACTGTAGATGCTGAGCCCCACACGCTGCTGGTGGGATGCAAACGGAGCAGCCACCTCTGGAAACAGCCTGGAAGTTCCTCAGAGTTAAACACGGAGCTGCCCCATGACCCAGCAATTGCACTCCTAGGCATGCATCCAACAAAATTAAAAACACGTGCACATAAAAACTTCTACATGCACCTTTATGGAAATATTATACACAACAGACAGCCCTGGCCAGTGTGGCTCAGTGGATGGGGCGTTGGCCTGCACACCGAAGGGTCGAGGGTTCGACTCCCAGTCAAGGGCACACACTTGGGTTGCAGGTCCGACCCCTGGCCCTGGTTGGGGTGCATGAGAGAGGCAACCAATCAATTTGTCTCGCTTACAATGATGTTTCTCTCTCTCTCCCTCCCTCCCTTCCACTCGCTCTAAAAAGCAATGGAAAAAATATCCTTGGGCAAGGAGTAACAAAAAAGCAAAAAACAAAACCAAAAAACCAAAAAAACACAATAGGCTAAATCGGGGAAACCCCAAATGTCTACCGACTTACGGTGAAGCAAGGTGCGGTGCAGCCGAACAAGGTGGCATAGCCACGAGATGAACTGTTATTTAACCATGAAAAGAAGTGATACTTAAAAAGCAGTGCTACGCGGATGAAACTTGAAAACATTATTATGTTACATGCTTGGAGCCAGACACATAAGGCCACATAGTACATGATCCCATGCATTTAGAAGTTCCAGGATAGGCAAATCTATGGGGACATTAAGTGGGTCAGTGGTTACCTAGGACAAGACTGCGGGAGACAACTGGGAGGAAATAGCAATTCCCACTGGGCACAAGGCTCCTCCTGGGGCGAATAAAGTGTGCAAAATTGATTGTGGCGATGACTGTACAACTGCGAATATACTAAAAGCTACCAAATTGAACACAACTAAGTGGGTGAATGTTACAGTGTGTGAATTATACCCCAATAAAGCTGCTAAAAACATAGTAAGTTTCTGACCTCAGTGCTTCCGGTCGGTTCCATATGCCACTAATCACACCCAAAGGATATGTCAAGAAAAATGAGAAAGTAGCTTCGTTTCTTTGCTTTCTGCTCCCTTGTCTCCCCTGCTCCCCCGGCCGCCTCTCTCTCACTCTGGCTCTGCTAGCTCTCCCTGCCTCACCCCCGGTGCCCCTCGATACTGTGGAGGCCGCCCCTCCTGCGTGTTCTCTGCCCTGAGTCATTTACCAAATTGAAAGGTTTTATGCCCCTTTGCTCTCAAAGGTGGCTCCCTAGTCCCGTCTGTTGGTGCCTGGGATCCAGAAGCACGATTTCTCCAGTCCCCCCTCCTGTGTCCTGAGGGCCCCAGCCCCCCCAGTGCTGCACTGCGGGGGATGGGCTCTGGGGTTCCTGCCTGCACATCCCTTCACCTCCACTCCTGCCACCCGGCGCTCAAAGCCACGCACTTTGCAAGTGGGTCAGGGAAGCTCCCTCGGCCCACGACGAGGGACCAGCCGGGAGAAAAAGGCCGGAATCGAGGCTGGTTGTTGTTATTGCTGCTTAATAAAGGTAAGAAGGGTGAAGCAGACTCCCACGGAAGCAGATTCAGGCCGCTTCCATTACTCGGCTCGCTCTGCCCGGCAGCTGTTTTCAGGGAGCTGACTGTGAGGACAGCAGAGACAGGTGAGACGGGGCGGCCGCCCTGCTGCAGCATCGGGCCGGGCCGCGGGCTTCCTTCCGCCTGTGCAGCTGGCACAAGGGGGGCACCCGGGCAGTTTCAATTCTAAGTATCCAGGGGGGAGCTGTAAGGAAACATGTCAGCAGAGAAGAGAAGAAACGCGGTTGCTGGTCTTTTCTTGCTGGGAGAAAAGAATGGGGGCCTCAGGCGACGAACGTGAATGCGGGGCCAGCGAGGTTCCTGGTGCTGCTTTGGTGTGACAGTGAGAGTCAGGGAGTAGAAGGAAGCCCATGGAGCTTCGCAAGTGGGAGGGCCATGAAGACTGAACACCAGAGGAGCAGGCCGCGCCTCTCCTGGAGAAAGTCCTGGAGGTTGCTACAGGCACCCAAGCCATGCCTGCTGGACTGGACGCAGCCTCCTCTGCTGAGCTGGCCACGCTCCACACCGCACGCCGGGGGCTGGTCCATCCTCGGCTCCCACGGAGAGGAACCAGAGCCCTTCGTGTGCAGCTGGGACCAGTCCCCTCCTCGGTCTCTCCACCTCCCTTGCCAGGGGCAAGGGGAAGCCATAGGATCAGCATTTCAGAGTTCAGAATGGACCCTAACGACCCGCAGCTAAGATCTTTCCTCCGCTGGCCCGGATATCACCGCTGTGGGGTGAAGAGGTGGCGAGGACTCTAGGCCTTTACCACTCCCTCGTTCACCCCCAGGCGCCCAGCCAAATTCCATCGCTGCCTGGCTGAGACCACCGGGCTCTTCACCCCACTCACACGCTTCTCTGCAGGAGCCCAGGCTCTGGGGTCACCGCCCTACCCCCACACGGCTGCGTACCTACTCTTTTCTGCCCATTCCCCTTCTACCCCCAACTCCTGAAACCAGAGGGGGATTTCCCATGACACTAAGGAAACTTAGGTTTCAGGGACCCTCATGTCATGTGTCCCTTCCAAGGCTGGGCTTTCCCTCCCCAGGCCAGGGAAAGGAAGCTGGAAGCCTTACACGTGAGCCACAGGGGCCCAGGGTTCCGAGGGCAGGCCCCTGAGCAAGAGCATCTGAGTAGGAACCTGGAAACAGTTTTCATTGTGGCATTACCAATAAAAAATTATGGAAATTGAAAGAAAATATTTTAATAATTAAAGAACAAACAATAATAACCACTCAAATTTCCACCAACAATGCCTAAGACAGAATTATTTTGCTATTTCCTCTGCAGAAAATACTACAAGATCATTGTTACATGAAAAGATAACTAAAGAAGGTTCCGGTGAATAATAGGTGAATATGTAGAAACGAGGAGCTGCAGAAGGGTGCCAGGCTGTGGTTAGCACTATTAATTGTATTCTTCATGAGTGTTTACTTGTAATCTTTTATTTGTTTCTAAGAGAGGGAGCTCCAAAGATATAGGGCTTTATCCTGAAACAACCTCAATGTATCCCAGAAGATTCCTTGAAGATTTCAGCTCCTGCCTTTGTATTTTTTTCAACTCTACTCCTATCTTAAATTCGACTTTAATGTCTATGGATATGATCTGCCTAATATCCTGGCCTCTGGCTTCCTTCCCACCCTCTTTTTTGAAGACAGTTTGCTCCACTTAACCTCAGTCGCTCATGTCCTTGATGACCCCTTCAGACCTTGTCCGTATTGATGGGGGCAATCCCTCCATCATTTCAGTTCAAGCTTCCCTCACTCAGACCATGACCTCTCATCTCTGTGGTGCACTAGCCTTACGTCCAAACTCCTGCAAAGCCTGGGCCTTACCCAGATCTCATTGCCCCACCGCTCTTTCCCCGCCTCATGCACTTTTC